CGCTCCCCGCCGCCCCAGACCCCGCGGTGCCCCCGCGGCCCCGCACCGTCTCGATGTACTCGGACTTGTTGTAGAGCATCTCGCTGAGCTCCATGGCCGCCGCGCCCGGCCCCGCCCGGCCCGAGCGCCGCTTCCGCCGCGTCACCTCCGCCGCGCCCCGGTTGCCATGGAGGCCCCGCCGGCAGCGGCGGCCCTGAGCGGCGCCGACCGGGAGAAGGTGCGGGGCCGGCCGGGGCGGCGGGACCGGGAGCGGGGCGGGCCCGTGCCGGTCCCATCCCGACGGGTGTCTCTTGCAGCTGCGGGAGAAGCTGGCGCTGCTGAGGCGGGAGTACAGCGAGACCGTCATCCGGCTGCGGGTGAGCGGAGCGGGCCGGGCCGGGCCGGGGGCTCCGGGGCACCGCCAGCCGGTCCCAGCCCCGCCGGGGTCTTGTGTGTCCGCAGCGGGCACGGCGAGCCGAGCGAGCCAGGAGCCACGGCCGGCGGGAGAGGAGCCCCACAGGTGGGAGCCGGGGAGAACGGGGCGCCTCAGGTGAGAGCCGGGAGAACGGGGTGGCTGCCCGTGGTGGGAGCCGGGAGAACGGGGTGGGTGTCCCAGGTGGGAGCCGGGAGAACGGGGCACCTGTGGTGGGAGCCGGGAGAACGGGGTGGCTGCCCGTGGTGGGAGCCGGGAGAACGGGGTGCCTGGCCCAGGAGGGAGCCGGGAGAACGGGGTGGCTGCCCCAGGTGGGAGCCGGGAGAACGGGGCGCCTGGCCCAGGTGGGAGCCGCAGGCAGTCCCCCAGGACAGGGCTGTGGGGGCACCGGGGACCCGGCGTCCGGCCCTGCTGACCCTCCCTCCGGGCCCCGCTGTCCCCACACGGCCCTTGCCCTGGGCTGAGCCGTGGTCTCAGTAACGTCTGCTCTGCTTCCCTCCTCACCAGGTCTGCAGTGCGCCGATCCTGACTGTAAGATCCCCATCTTTCCCTGATAACAAAGCCTAATTTTACCGTGTGATGTTTTTCTTGGACAGGACTTTAGGAGTAGTTTACAAGTGTGGTATTTTTTCCCCCAGGTTCTAGAGATAACACATCTTCTAGTGCTGACAGAGATGGGCCCTCTCAGTTACAGACTAAAACCTGCTCTGATGCTGACACAGAGAAAACATCTGTCACACTTAAGCATGCTCCAGAATTCTCCAGTGATGCGGTTAGCCCACAGGACAGCTCCCGGGCAGAAAGCTTTGAGGCCAGCCAGGAAAACCTGTGCTGTGGGGTCATCAGACCTGTCCCTGTGGAGAAAAAGCCCCAAACCTCCCGAGGCATGATGAAGCTGCGGAGACGGATGAAGGCTCTGGAATCAAAGGAACAGGAATCAGTGCATGATGTGCATCTAATCAGTGCTGGTGAAATGATGAAAAATCAAACTGTCAGTGCAGAGGAGCTTCAGTCACCAGTGTTCAGGCACAGCAGCATCTCACGCACTGAGGAACCTGCTCAAAGGGCACCTGGGGCAGTGCTTGTGCAGGGAGAAGGAAATAGTTTCACTCCTGATGCAGCACCAGGGCTTGTACAGGATGTGTTTGAGGGCAGTGTCACTGCAGGAGAGCCTGAGCTGTCCCCACATGCACGGGGGGACCACAGGGACATCTCACAGCCTGAGTCCTCAAGGGCTGTGGCCACACCTGACAGACCTGAGCTGTGTTCACAGCATGGAGACTCTGTTTTACTTGACCCCAGAGATGATGGGGGGGAAGAATCCCCCAGCAGGATAAAACAGCCGGAGGGTCAGAGTTTGTGTGAAGATCAGGGAGAATTACATGGGCTCCTG